CCCCCCAGCCGGCACAAGGCTCCAACAGCTCACTATGGGGAACCTCGTGCTGGCTCCCCTGCCTGGTGGGAACCGCCTGAACCCACTGCCTTGCAGATGAACCACACAGTAACTGTGCTGAACAAGCATGTTCCTGAGGGCCTGGGCGAGCTCGCATGGAGCCTGTGTTATTGCTGTCAGAGACCCTTCCCTAGCAGAGCCACGGGCTGGAAAAACCTGAACTGAACCTACAGCAAAGAACTGCTCTAGACTTCTATTCTCAGCCCGTCCCCACAAAGTCCCATTCCCACAGCTCCAGGGAAACCGTGGCCAAAACCCTCAGCACACAGGGACCGATAGCTCCCCCCCTGCAGCGCTATTGCCCTGCTCAGCTCCTCTGGCACAACGTGGCTGGGGATGAGAAAAACGAAAGGCCCCGAGTTCTCCTTCTGCTCAGTGCTGTCTCACTGCTCCTCCAGCCCTGAGCATTCTCTCGATAGCTGAACCACTCCAGGTCCCCAATAAAGAAAAGAGCATGCGTCTTGTTACAGATGGATGGTCCCATAAGCAGTCTCACCAGGAGCTGGAAACAGAACCAAGGGAATCTTGCCAAGGCTTTAAAGGGCAACTTGCAAAGCTGTTCCCTGATTTCTGCATGCTTTCAGTAAAGAATGGAGATTCAACAACCTTTGGAGGGGGTTTCAAACAGGCAGCCTGAATCCCCAGCCAATTCTGGATCCCAGACACAATTCCCAATGGTCTGTGTAGGTCTGTTGGGGGCCCAAGGACACACACACTCAGGAACTACTAAGATACTCCACCTGCAGTCTCAGGTTTACAGAGCTAGAAGAAACAAGTGTTATTTTTTCAGCCAGGTCCCAGCACATCTTTGACTTCAGCACAGAGCATGGGCTAAACCTCTGCAGCGCTGGCTGCTCTGTGTAGCTGTGCTTTGCTGGTGGCTCAGGAGAGCACAGTAACAAGGTCACCTACAGACTGAAAGGCCACTTTCTTCTTGTTTGGACACTGCTGCCTGACAGTTTGTACCATTGGTCCCCAACCAGACCAAGAGGAGCCACCCCAGAGCTCTACCTTGATGGCTTTGAGAGAGCCGCTGAACAGCATGTTGTGCGAGGAGACCAAAGTGCAAACAGGATTGTCATGTGCTCGGATCGTGTTCACTTTCTGCAGGTTTTGAATATCCCAGACCTGCAAAGGAGAAGAAGAGCGCCCGTGAGGGGCAGGTCCCTCATGCTGAAGCCTTTCCTCTTTGGCTCGGAAGGCAGGCAACTACATAAAGGCAAAAACACAGGAAGGACAGGGCACCTGCACAAGCCGCTGTCCTGGCTGGATCAGGACTGACCACCCTGCCCCAGCGCAGAGCACCAGCATCCTGCTCCCCACGCAGGAGCGGGGACTGGGAGCTCCAGCCTGCAGGAAACACCCAAATCCCACCCACGAGTAACTGGGCTGAAGGCAGTGGGTAAAGCACACACGGGTTATCCATCTGACACCCCTGGCAGCTGAAGAGCCCTACAGAAAAAAAGTTGCAGGTCCCTGCCCTATGACAGCCCAGGGCTGGCCTGTCGATCCCACACCCCAGCTGCGAAGCGAAGCAGGGGTCCCGGGTACTCACAATAATGGTGCAGTCAGCAGAGCCACTGTACAGCTTGTTCCTGTAACGTCACCAGAAAACAAAAGGAGGTCAGCGAGGGAGACCAACGGGTGCAGAGTCCCAGGGTCCCACAGCCTCACACCAACCCCAGGAGCAGAGCCCAGGTCTCGTGGGGAGCCCAGGCTGGATCGGCCCTTCGAGCAGGAGGGCAGGGACCCCCACTGGTGACCGGGGAAGGAAGGCAGGACAGCAGGGGAGGCCAAAGAGATATTTTAAAGAGCAAAGAGGCAAGATGTGCCTCTTATGCACAATCTTGGCACGTGCAGGACTGAGGCCGGGAATTGCAGGGGCATGCTCAACACCCAGTGCTCTCCCCCCTCCCTCCTGCAGGGGCCGGTGTCCCTTTCCACTCACCCCTGGATGCAGAGAGCCAGTACAATTCCATCGTGACCCTCCAAGGTCTTTTGGCACTTGTATGTGGTACAGGTATCCCACACCTAACAGGAAACACAAGTCAGCAGAGGGTCACATTCCAGCAGCTGGGGACCTGGGCAGGATGTCAGCAAAGCCACAAAAGCACCAAAACGAGGAAACAGGCTGTCACCTGGGCACCTGCCTTCCGGGCTCCCAGGCAGCGATAAGCCTGTCTAGGAAAGGAAATTTACTGCAAAGGGTCAGGTTGAAGTTAACGAGACACTGGACAGCAGCACACATCGGCCCTCTCCAGCTTTGCCGTTCACAGCCCAGGCCAACACAACTCGCTGAACCAGGGAAGCAGCTCTCAGGCTCTTGCTTTAGCAACTCACACCCCACCCTGGGCTCCAGTGACACAGCACAGCCTCCTCTGCCACCGCCAAGGCTTTCCCCACTGAGCACACTCTGCCCTCTCAAGAGAGGGGACACAGGAATGTGGTGCCTGGAGCACTCAGGACAGGGGAGAGCGCTGCTTTCTTTCAATGAAGTACAGCAATGTCCATTTTCTTCCATGTGTCTCTTACTGGCTCTCAAAGAAACTCAACCACAGCTCTGCTCCGGGCAGGGCTAGTCACAGAGCCTGTGTGGCTCCCCAGCCCTGCCAGCAGCAGCCAGCACAGCGACACTGGGAACGGTGCTGTCAGTTTGAGTTACTGAAAACAGGACGAAGAGAAACAAACACGCCATGAAATGGGAAAAGAACACGCTTGATCAGAGGAAAATGTTCTTTTCTAAGATGACTTTTTATAACAAGGGAAAATAAAATCAGAAGCTGAAATAGGCTTGAATGCCCTAAACACCACACAAAGCAAAACCAGGAGCAAATTCTAATCAGGGCTTTGCAAAAACCACTCTTTACCTCTCTATTTCTCTATGACATAACATTTCCTCACAGAAAATTTTGACCAACTATAATTGCAAAAAATCATTTAAGAGTCTTTGGGAGAAACTTTGGGAAGTGACATCCCCCACCTCACAAACCCCAACTCAGCTTCTGTCCCACCTGAAGCACATTTACAAATGCAGAAGATACACAGAAGAGGCAAGCTCTTACCTTAATGGTTTTGTCTGAAGAGCCACTGAAGAGCAAGTCTCCTATGGAGTACACGCACAAACACCAGACAGGGCCCTGGTGTCCCACAAAGGTCCCCTTGCACTTGAAGATCTGCTGAGGATCATAGGCTGTGGAAATAAGAGGGCAGGTGAGAGGTGGGGGAATGGTGCTGCACCACCTCACGGTGAGTTTGGAGGAGACAGAGCTCCCTGCACTCGCCCAGCAGGTCCTCCTTGCACTTCATTGTTACAGCCAGAAGGAACCATGAGACCCTGTCAGTCTGGCTGGAGGGTCTCATGTCCCACCCTTACAGCTCATCCACTTATCATTGCTTTGAGCCCCAGGGCTCATTCCTTAATGCAACTCCCAGGCTGGACATAGGGAGGCCAGAGATGCAGGGTCCACTTGGCATCTCCCCCCAGCAGCTAATAACCCTCTCTTACCAGTATTTTCCTCCTGCAGCAGCAGTGATCCTGTGAACAAATCACTGCTGCACCCACAGACAACTGTGACCATGCCTAAAGGGGGTCACCGGGCCACCAACCCCGACCCAGCCCAAGAGGATGAAAACCAGGTGCATACTCACATCCAAGGATGCCCATGTTGAGCCGAGCATTAATGTGGGAGAGTTCATCCTGAAAAAGAGAACAAGCTGCATGAGCTACAGAGCCATCAAGACCAGCCTGTCCCCCTGGGCATGGCTTGAAGACTGTCCCCCTCCACTGCTAAAACCACTCTTGCCTCCCTGCAAAGGCCCTCCCCCAGGAACTCACTCGCTGATCGGAGGTCTCCTGCTCTAGGCCTGCGTGCGTACATCCCTCTGTCACCTCCCTCCAGACACCACAGACAGCATCTCAGACCTGCACTAAACTCTTCAGTATTCAGGGAGGCACAGAAATACCTCTCAGAACATACTGCCCTTGCTCTGCCATTCACCAGACTGCTAAAAATAATCAGTCTGGTGATGGGGACTGCTTGCTCTGCTGGGCTCTTGAAGCCCACCTTGCTGCAGGAGAACTGGAAGGTCTCTGTAGTGTCCTTCACAGCCTGGTCCCCACTGCATCCATAGGGACCCCCTCAATGGTATGCCATGGTAAACCAGGGCGAGCTCCTCCTGGTCAGGACATCCAGTGGGATGCCGTGTGCCTGAACTAGGGAGGAATGTCTAATGTCCAACATCATGGACGTTTTGAATCATGTCCAAAACCATGAGACAGCTCTCACTCCCAGGTTGTTAGCAGGGATCTGCGCATCTTCCTGCTTTCTCTGCAGGCAGGGAGAAGGGCATACTGTCCCTGGCTAGTATAAAAGGCACAGGAGTCCCCAGGCTTCGGATCTGAGGTCTCTCCTTGCTGCAGGGGTCCCTTCCTCTGCTAACACATTTCAAGAGCTGCAACAGGCTGAGAAAAGACAGCAGAACAGTTTAAATGGCAGCTCAGATGCAGTGACCAGAGTGTGCTCCCTGAGCTAACCTAGCCTTGAGCAAACCTTCACCCAGCCCTAGCTGCACAGAACCCGAAAGACTCCCCCCACTGCAGGAGAAGCCCAACTGGAAGCAGAGCCAGCTAACTGCGTGCAATCCCTGCTCAGCCCCAGGGCCCGGGCCCCTCCTCACGTTCAGCATGGAGGCATCCCTGCGGAACTCCATCAGGTCCTCGCTCAGCTTGCTCTGGTTCTCGTCCAGCACATCTATGAGAGATGGACAGTCACTGCAGTCAGTGATGGCATCCAGGGGAACCGGCAGAGGACGCCCGCTGTCACCTAACCTCTGAACAAGGAGGGAGGAGAACCCACTGCTGTTATCAGCAGGGAAAAGCGGGACAGTGTCTCCTACTCCAATGCAAATTATACTTGGATGCTGAAGACCAAGCCATGTCATTGGTGACTGCAGGATTAGGTCTCACAATGTTCTGGCAGCAGAGCAGTCGATGGGACCCCTATTTGTACCTCTGCAAGGAATATCTGAACCTCTTGAAACCTGTTCAGCACCAGTCTTAAACACAGAATGAATCCTGTAACACACCATCATAACAAAGAGCTGCCCTGTCCCCACAGCTCCGACCACTGAGCTTGTCCAGTGCAGACTCACCAAACTTGAGCTCCAGGTTCTTCTCCAGCTGGTCGATTTTCTCGGAGAGCTTCCCCAGCATGGAGCGCAGAAAGGCAATTTCCTGATCCTTCTGGGCCATCGCCACCTGCATCTCATGGAAGCGATCATCCGTCTGCTGCAGGAACTCCTTCAGACCCTCAAATTTGCACATCTCCAAGTGGGTCTCATAAGTGTCTTGATTTCCTATGAACGTACACCTACACGGGGAAGGCAGACGCTGGCTGGAGCTGGGCTCACACTGGAGACACACTCTCCTGTGTAGAGCTGCTCAGAGCCCATCCCAAGGCTGCAGTAGCCAAAAAGCAGCTCAGAAATGAGCTCAGTGCATCCTTCCCACTAAAAAACACCAGCTCCTTACCCGTATTTGGAGTGGGGACATTTTATGTGCTCGCACTCTTTCAGATGTGCCTCCAGGTTCATTTTCAGGAGCGGTGGGCAGCTGGGGTTATTGGGGCAGCGAACTGGCCTGTAATCACAGCTGCTTTCATGATCTCTGCCCACGGAGAGAAGCAAAAGAAGGGAAAATCAGCGATAAGCAAAAATTAACAGAAACCACACAGATCATCAGGAAAGGAGCAAACCAGCCCTGTGAGACTGTCAGGTGATCGAAAGCCTCCTGTTCTGAGACTGCAATTTCATCTTTAAATTCTCATTTCACAGAATCACAGAATCACAG